CCGACGAATTCATGACTTGTTTGGTACTTCTAGCACCGGATCTCATTTTTTGATCCTTCTTCAATAGATATTTTTGGTAACCAGGTACCTTAATGAATATAAAATAGTATATTATGCAACGATCATGTAATAACCATTACATGAGAGTTGCATACGCTATTTTTTTCTACACCCGATAAATAATCAAGAACTATAAATATTATATTCATATTGGTATTGAACACAATAACAATAATTACTCGTGTATTTCTATAAAAAATTCTACAAAATTGTAATTAATGGTATTACTTCGGGTATTGGTATTTCCCTAGATTTTTGCGGCAAAATATTTTGTACTGTATTTTCTGCTTTCTCCGATATGTGTGGAGGAGTCTTCTATATCGCTGATATCAGACATTTTAATATTATAATTAACGAAGTTTAGTTATCTACCAAAATTTAATACGTTTTGACAACTAAAACAAATACATAGGAACCTAGGACAAACGTCAAACAGCATGCTTGATTGAAAAATTGTAGGTTTCTATTGATTAAAAATCTGTATCGTAATGAAAAATCTGTATCGTAATGAAAAATCTGTATCGTAATGAAAAATCTGTATCGTAATGAAAAATCTGTATCGTAATGAAAAATCTGTATCATAATGGGTATCATTATGAAACGGATTATGGGCATATAAGTGCATTATTATAATACGGGTGTAGAAAAAAATAATTATACTTCAACTCAGTCTTCAGTGCCGATACTTCCCAACTCCTAATATAGACTTTTCTTGCCACTGGCGTCAGAACACAGGTTGTGAAGAACTGAAGTATTAAAATTGTAACAGTAATGACCAGTTAAATGAAAATCGATCAAACAGTGATCTTTGATCTCAGAACAAAGGGAAGTAGAAGCTGGTAGAACTTTAGTGTAACAGGGATCTATGAAAAATACAAGAAAATCTTGATTTCTGATACTTTTATTTACTTAAAATTTAGTGACTCACCTCATGCTATCGATATTTGTAGTACTAACCACAGATATGGATTAGAGGAGACAGGACATATCATTTTTACATGGAGGTAGAAGGTAGGGAGACGCTGTCACGTGGTCCAAGACGGGTTCACTTCCGCCATATTGTGTTCACGAATCCTTCAAACAGCTAATCGTGGTTTCAATCAACGAACTTAATCCAAACCTTGGAGAAGTCTGAGCTAACCGGAATATAGCGTGGCGACCTAGAGCTCGTCGTGGCGTCGTCAGATAAAATCTGAACTACCCCAACCTTGAAAAGACTACCCTGACACTCTACGACGTGACGATACTACTATCGGCTTTTGGTCTTTCGTTCCATGTTAAATCATTTTTCGTTTTCTTTACACTACGAGTTTACTCTTGTAGGTCTCAGTCTCGATAAGGTGGGAACCATCATTTTAGCATCTCTCGAGTTAGAATTGTAGTAATATAACGTGTATCAGAGTCAACACTATCATTACACGCCATGGTCCATTATTTACGGACAATCTTATATTTATTTGATAACTCTTAAAAAGTGGCAAGTAACTTGCGACGCTAATACCACAGAGGTGATGCGGAAATGTGCTAATAATAACAGACTTCACTTTAATTAAAAAAAATTTCAAAAAAAATGTATAAAAATGAAATACATATTTGTCACCTGTGAAACATTAAATTTACCCGCTACTGGAAACAGTTCCGAAAATCTCTACAAATTTTGGAGTTTTGACAGATGTTTGCAGTACATTACATATTCCTAAAATTTTCCCACTGTCTCTTATTTTGACAACTTAGTATAATAATTCATTATAATAATAATAATACTTTCCCTAATTCACCCCCTTACGAGTGAATTTTAACCCCACAAGCTGAGCTTGTGCCGTGGCGCTCCGGGGCGACTTTAAGATGATTGATGGTGCTATTTGACTTACAGGTGAGGAAAACCCGGAAAACCTCACCCACCCTCATCGAAACGGTAATGTATGGCGATTTTTCATAATCTGCATGTCATATTAACAGAAAATGAATTTGTATTAATACGGCACACATCAAATCCTATACCGAACCATGTAATTTAATTAAAAATCCACATGGTCTGGTCTGGAATTCAAAGCCCAGCAGTCTTTGACACATCAACTTGCTTTTAAATGAATATAAGTGCGTTAGACCGCTACACCACCGACCCGATTATTACACATCTTATTATCATCATTATTATTTTTTTATTATTATTTCATCTTTCAGTACCTAATATTATTATTACAAAAATGTTAAAAATATTATGTACCTAATAATAGCAGAACAATTTTTTTTTGTAAACATGAAATGATATTAAAACATTTAAAAATATTTTTTTGATTTAAATGAAATGACTACATAACAATCTTCTCTATATAAATAAATTACTTTCAAATGTAATTATTATTATTAAAATATTTTTATATTATAAAAGGATTAACTTTAAATTTGACTAACTAATAATTTCCCAACACAATTCTCCTTTCATAACCTCCAAAAAAATGTGCTTTCCTTAATTTAAACTTAAGAGCGTAAAAAGGAGAAAAAACCTTCCGCAACGTTCCATCTCGATGATTAACATCGTTTCATTAAAAAACGAGCACCCTCGAACACATCCACTTCTATCCTGTCAGAACTTCTACTTGAGTGAAACTGCAAGCCTTCCAGATTTGTAATCTGGTAAGTTCAACGATCGGAACACAGAACGTTGCCAACCAGCACCTTCTTTTCTTCTCTTAACAATTCAGAAACGTAGTAGGAGGAACGAAACGGCCCATTCCCCCCAAGAAATAAAATTAAAAATGTTTTAACGTGCGTTTCGTTTGAAATCTTTGGCGGTATTCACATATTTTCTTTTAGGGTAAAAAAATATATTCTACTAACAGGCTACAGAACGAAAAATTAAAGTATTTTTATACAAATCTTGTTGCACATCATCAATGTCATTCGGTGCAGTACTACCAACTAATTCAAAAGTCCATAACTAACCTAATAATTTTTTTATGTCGAGAGCAGCATTCATGAACGTAGTCTAGTCATATTACTAAAAAATCGAAAAAACCAACCCACAAAAATACGAACTGAATCAAATTATTAACTTATATTTCTGACTGATCTTTTAAATACAAAAATCTGCACAGAAACTTGACGATTCGAGCAGGGCATGATTAATACTTATGTAAGCATTTTACTGATGAAAAACATTCTTTGTCAATAAAAGGTTTGTCCCAACTGCAGTTTATGTACCGTTGCGGAATCGCTGCAAAACCGAAGTTTTACGGTTTAATGCGCATGACAGTAATATGCATCGTTAGTATGTATGGTACAGTCAAAGATATCGGATAAATAGATACGCCTTGTATACATTACACTTGTCCGCAACTTTTTTTTGACAGTACGCTCTTCCTATGTTGTCAGATCTCTTTCATCAAATATCAAACATTAAATTTTTATTAAAAAAATTACTATTACCTTTAATACAATCTAATAAAAAAAGGAAATAAAGAATTGAAAGCATCAATATGAGTTTTTTATTAATTGCAATCACTTAAGACTTTTATTTAGCTATTTTTACATGTGTATCATATGTGAATATTAAACATTCTGGTATATATCTCTTAAGTTTGGCAACCTAAGACATTTTGCTGATGTTATCAAAGTGACAGATCAAATTTTATTGTGATTTTTGTGTTTTTTTGTAGTTTTCAAGAATAATTTAAACCTTGAACTTTTTAATAAGGACTTCTACGATGGGGAGGAAATGTATAGCGTGCGGAAATACGCAGAATAAGAATGTTATTCGATCATTTCATAAGTAAGATTATGTTAGCATAGACGTAGGCATATACGGGGAATAAGGCTTAATTTATTTAACAGTGTAAAAGTATTTAGCACTAGCATTGTTTATTTAAATAATAATGTTCTATATTTTCTGATCAGGTTTCCTAGAGACATTATTCAACGTACAATTTGGCTGCAAAATCTATGCTTGGTGGAGGAAGACATTATGAAAATGAAAGAAGCCTTAATATGTTCTGACCATTTTTGCATGGCAGACATTTATGAAAATTTAAGTGGTAGACACATCTTAAAATATAATACCATACCTATGAAGTAAGTACAGTGCGCAAATATGGGGTAATTTTGTTGATTTCTCCTTAAATTTGTGTTTTTTAATGGACCGTATGAATAGATTTTACTTGTTTTGGGTATTCAAACTTCGACACCACTTTTAATAGAGTTTATTACAATATTATTCGGTATCCAACAAAAGACAAGTTGTTGATACGAAACACAGGCACAAACAATGCTAGAATACGTCTAGTATGAGGCTACTTGCTTTTCTAACTGTTTTACTTAATAACACCCCGAGATAATAAGTTTTAATTCACTTTTTCCGAGAAAGAAGTGCCGGCCGGCCAACGCCCACAAAGTGCGAGAAAACTCACACACCACAAGTACATCCTTCTCGTCTTGAGTCAAGATTGCTTCTGTTTTAAACTAAACAATCTCCGAGATTGCACAGTTTATGAGAGGAGGTAAAAAATAAGAGGGAATTGCCAGGGTTGGTTGGAGTTACGTCATGAACTACCAATAGTACCAATCAAACATAAATGATGTTGGTTGCATAATGTTAGATGCGGTTTAGCAGTTAATTATATAATAAGGGGCGAGAGGAACAAATATATTTAAATTCGGTGTCTAGCGGCGTAGGGGAAAGAGGAGTAAAATAATTGATGTATTCTGGCAGAGAATAATGTTAAGTTATTTTCCAACATACAGTATTTATTATGGGTATTCTTATAATATGTAAGCTCTAAAATTATACAGAAATTATCACATTTTACAGAATTTTGGGAGAGGTAGTTGAAGAGGCGAAAAATGAAGAAGTAAAAAAGACTGCATCACCAGTAAGGTAACTTAATCGTTTATATTGAGAAAAGCATACAATTCTATATAATTTTTTTTTTAGTTTTTTAAAGAACAATGAAGATCCGTGCACATCTAGTACTCCTACAGGTCCTAGTGTGTCTGGATCACCACTTCCTAAAAGGTAATATAAATTTTTGGATTCTTCTTTATGTAAATAACTTATTTAAGAAAATTATCATTGCTTAAGTCAATACTAAATTAAATATAAAATATTTTAGATATTCCAATTATTATACACTTAATTCTTTTTGTAGGAGAAAATTAATTAAGCCCCGTTACTTAGCTGATATTCATTCATCAGACATGTCCAGCCCAACTGCTAAAAAAGCCTTAAAATTTGCAAAATTGATAATAGAAAAACAGCGTAGAAAAATATCTACTCTACAAAGGCAGAATCGAAGATTAAGATCTAAAATTACTAATCTAAATTCTCTATTGGCCCATTTGAAAACAAATCAGTACATTTCGCCATCGGCAGAATCTATTATAGAGGTACTAATAAATCAATTAAAAAACAAACGTAGAACCAATAACATACCAGTTTTACTGGTTTTAAATTTTTTAGGAAATTATTTCGCGATCGTAGGAAAATTATTGTATGTAACTTGTGTAAAAGTGATTTTTCACACAAAAATATCACTTTTCACACAAAAATATCACTTTTCACACTTGTAATATATTATAGTATTCCAATTTCCGATAGTATTATGTATGTTAAATGAATAACCTTTATTTATTTGTACATACCAAGATAGAAAGTATGTTTATTATTAAATACAATGAGTTTTTCAGGCTACTCTACCTGGAAGTGCTGCTGAAGTAATGAAAATGATTTTAAAAGGTTCTTCTCATCAAAAATATTCACCTGTTTTAAGGACATTTGCCTTAACATTAAATTTTTACTCCGCAAAGGCATACAATTTTGTTAGAGATACATTTAATAATTCGCTGCCACATCCAAGGACTCTAACAAAGTGGTACAGTGTAATTGATGGCAAACCAGGATTTACAAAAGAATCACTTCGTGCTATAGAAGCGAAAATTTCAACTTCAACAAAAAAGGTTTGTGTAAACCTAGTTCTTGATGAAATTCACATCATGAAGAAGGTTGAATGGACCGGAAAAGAAGTTATTGGATACATCGATTTGGGAACCAAATTAAGATCAGACTGTATTCCAGAAGCTACACAAGCATTAGTTTTTATGGTAGTAGCTATGAATGATTTGTGGAAAATTCCAGTTGGCTATTTTTTTATAGAAAGTTTAACCGGATCTGAAAAAGCCAATTTAGTTAAAGAATGTTTAAAATTTCTTGGTGGAGTTAACATCAAAGTGACTTCTGTAACGTTTGATGGAGCATCAGCTAATATAACTATGATGAAGTGTCTGGGAGCAAACATAGATACGCCATCTTCATTAACTACTTATTTCATTCATCCAACAACACATGAGCAAGTGTATTTTTTTTTTGGATCCATGTCATATGCTCAAATTGGTCAGAAATACATTCGGAACTGCTGGTAATGTTTTAAAAGATGGAAAAAATAGGGAAATAAAGTGGGATTACATAAGGAAACTAATACATCTTCAAGAAAATGAAGGCTGTTAGCAGGAACAAAACTGAAAGCTCGGCACCTACAGTGGTTTAGAGAAAAAATGCGTGTTAGAATTGCTGTTCAAATTCTAAGTAAAAGTGTTTCTGATGCTCTAATATTTGTCGAAAATGATTTAAAATTACCTGACTTTGTTGGTTCTGAAGCAACTTCAGATTTCATATTACTTTTTAATAATATTTTTGATATTTTTAATTCTAAAAATTTTTTTGCCAAATATAAGTTCAAGCAACCTGCATCTGAAAAGAATTGGCAGGATATATGTAAATATTTCGATCGGGTTTGTAAATATATAATAGAATTAGAATTAAATAATGAACCCGTTGTTGTTAGTGGTAGGAAGACAGGTTTCTTAGGGTTCTTAATTTGCATTGAAAGCATGAAATGTCTGTTTTGGGATTCAGTAGTAATGAATAAAAATTTAGATTTTATTCTTACTTACAAGCTTTCTCAGGACCATTTGGAACTTTTTTTTAGTGCAGTTCGTAATAGATGTGGCTTCAATAACAATCCCACATGCAGATTGTTTCAAAATTGTTATAAAAAATTATTAATTCATAATGAAGTGAAGTCAAATAAAACTGCCAATGCAATTGCTTTAGATGGCACCAGCATCTTGGATTGTAGCAGCACTAGTAGCAAAATTGCGTTAAATTTAAAATGTTACGAATCAGACACTTCTGAAGAAAATTTGGAATTTACAAATGAGCTTCGTGACCATGATTATCTATCTATATATTTTCTGAGCGAATACATTCAGGATGTAGTTGCCTACATTTCTGGTTTTATAGTAAAATCATTGAAGAACAAGATTCACTGCAAACAGTGTTTTGCGATTTTAGAAGAAGATTACAGTTTATCAAAACTGCAAAATCAAAAAACTTACGGAAAATTACAAAAAGCTTCTAGATTTGTAGTTACTGTTTGTAGTGAAGCTGAAAAATGTATAAAAACAGTTTCAATGAACATACACAGTAATAATATTATTAACATTGCCAATATAAAATGTAAATTAGTAAATAGTTCTATGCGATATTTGCCTTCAAATATTTTTGATGTTTTTTCTAACCATATTTTTGATTTTGAACCAATTAATGACCATTGCATTACTGTCACGAAGCTCATTTTAGATAAATATATAGACATTCGACTTCATCATGAATTTAATAAATTAAAAACTGTTAATAAAGCCAGAGTGAGAAGTTTACTTACAAAAAGCATTTTATTTCAGAATCAGTAATTTTTAATTTTAATTATTTGTTTTTATAATTTTCCTTCAGTATTTTTTCTATCCGGACAAATTAGAAATAAAGTATCTCTTGATAATCTTAAGCTAATGTGTTTTAGCCTTGTCCAAATATTATAAGATCATTGCTGATTACTCTCCTAAATGAGTTATTGTACCATTACACAAATAATGCCAAAAATAGGTGTCGTGACATGCAACCCAAATGGCATGTAATGGAAAGATCCTATTTGTATATTTATGTATCTAAAATAAAATTGTTCTATTGTTTTTAATAAGTTTTTTATATCATAAAAAAGGTAGTCCGCAATATATTTATTCTTTTTTCGAACTGTAGAAAAGGATTTCTGACAATACCCATGTAAAAATAATAATAAATGGCTTTATATTTTTACTTACTCTTCATGTATTTAAAAAAAAAGATAATATATAATAAAATACTAACAAAAATGTTCTTCCACTTTGAGCTACCTACTATTTTAATCTATAAGAAAATATATAAAATGACTTTTTGAATGCCCTGTATAATATTGAATATGTTTTCTTTAAATTTACCTCTGATTCCGAAGACCCATATATTATTGCTTTGGTCATTAAATAATGTTTACTAAAAATATATGTAAACCCTCCCGTAACACTACGTCTATGTGCGACGTACGATTCCCTTTCCCCGTCTGGTATAATGTGCGGACAGAAGGTGTATTGGGTATACAGTGTGAAGGGCGAGTCTATCTTAGATAATATGATGTCTATGGGTACAGTCGGCCAAACCTGACTTCTTCGCGCTAGTGATGGAAAAAAGCGTTATTTTCATTTAACAGTTACAACTGTTACTGTTATTTTTAAATAACAGCTTAAAATAACAGGTGATCGTTATTTTTAACATCTAGTGGTTAAACAAAGAAACTACATAGTAAACGCCGTGAATTTACTTAAAACTAAATAACAGTACCCCGTTACTACTCGAACATTTCTCAATGTCAGTAGACTTGGAATGGTCCATACTCCAAAGCGCCAGTATGCCCTGAAACTTGAACGCATGGGACATTGAATTAGCAGTAGTAAATAATACTTAAATAACGTAGTAGCGTTATTGAAATAACGCTTGTAACGCATGTTATTGTAAATTTGGTGGCGCGATCGACGATCGACGTATTGAATGGCATCGACCAATACGTTCTCATTAAGTCGCATTTCGCGAGGAAGCAATCGTCAACCGTTTTGTGTTGTGGCGTTATTTTGCACCTGTTATTTTTGAACTTGATTAACAGTTGTAACCGTTGCGTTTCAAATAACAGCTTAAAAATAACAGTTAAATAAGAACACATCACTACTTCGCACCCTCGAGAAGACTGACTTCTTCGCGCCTGGAGACGTCCTAGTTTTGTTTATCTGTAAAAAAACACAACAATAAAAATTTGTACAATTTTATTATTTAATTGTGCAAGCTCTGCTCTACAAAGTATTGATCTTAATCGAGTACTTTCGTTATTATAAAGGGACCCTTATACCGAGGCTTCAGCTTGGTACTTTTACCATCGTTTGCGCTTTTCGCTCTTTTTAGATGCACTTGTTACCCAACTTGATATACTTTAGGGAGTACGTGTCTAGAATCTTACGCCCGCTTCTGAACCGATTGCTTTCGGCAATCCATTTAAAAACCTCTTCTCTTAGTGCTACTAAATTTTGCGAGTTGTCTTCGCATATCTTTGCACATAGAAATGCGTCGTTTACGCCCGTAGAGACAAATTCGAGAATAGCACTGATTATTTAATTTCTTTACAAATATCTTTTGTTGAAACGATTTTTAGATTCTCCTTTTTACACAATGCTCTTGTTTGTAGGATTTATAATAATTTGAATATTTTTTACAATTTAATTATAACGCTTTACTTACGCAGGTTTCGGATTAAAAATTTTATGAGTATTTCCAGGTAAGTACCCGAAAGTTTGACCTGTTCTTTGGGGAAATATCAACTGGTTAAATGAAATGAAAAATAATGTACAACTTTTTAATTAAATAATAATGGAGAATCTTTTGTATTATAAACCTAATATTAATTTTATATTACAATTCACATAGAAAATATGGTCTATGTATAATAAGAGGGTTATTTAGCTCAAATAAAATATTTTATAATATAAAAATTTGTTCCATGTAGAGAATTTCAAATGAAAAATAAAAAAATTGAACTTGCCAACACAAATGTAAATCAGTCATTATCATCCAAAATATCATAATCGTCATCATCATCACTGTCA